CAAGGAGGTCCCAGCAGCCGGGCCCGCCGTCCTCCCCCCAACCCCCCTGTCCGGCACACAGCTTCTCCAGGAAACACACAGCGAACGCGTTTGGGTTCAAGGCAGGGCCCACACTGTTGCTGCCCAGGGAGCACCCACACCGGGCCCCAACCTCCTGGGGCGGGCCCTGGGCCGGGCTGGAAGGCAGGCAGGCCTTCCATGGACCCTGGCCTGCCCTCTGTCATCCATCCGGACCAAGATGAGGAGACACCTTCCAGAGCCTACCCACAGAAGGACTCTCCTCTGGACACAGAGGCCACAGAAGGACAGTTAGGGGTGTCAGTTCACCACTGCACCACCTGAGGAGCTGCCCAGTGAAGGCAGACTGGCCCTTGGCTGTGCCCATCCTAATGCCCGTGGAGGCAAGGTGACCTGCAGTGGTGGAGGCCGGTTTGGGCTCCGAAGAACCAGATGAGGGGCACTGGGCAGAGCTGCCTCTTGGGGACAGGGGAGGCACACACCCACGGTGAAGGTCGGTTGAGCACCTGCTACATGCCAGACACCGCGCTGCCGACACTGGATGCACCACCGTTGTTTCAGCCTGACTCTGACCCTTTGGGTAGGAAATGTGTCCCCAGGTGACAGATGTGCAGTGACGAAGGTCGCCTGCCAGTTGGACCTGGCGTGTGGCTGGGATGGCCATGTTCTCCTCCCCTCATCGACGTTATCCTGGCCCCCTCCCGCAGGGAGGCCCTGGGAGCTGCTGCCCTCCAGAAGATGCTCCACTACTAGTGCCCCACTTCCCGCCTCCAGCAGGCCTGCCCCCCGCTGCCCTTCCCCTGCGTCCAGGCCACAGCCTCCTCCACGCGGCAGCAAGAGACAAGGCCAGCGAGCTGGTGCTCAGCTCCTCGGCCTCTCCTCCCCAGATCAGACAGCTCCATCTGCAGACCAAGCCCCATGACGGCCAGCGCTTTGCACGAAAAAGGGAACCTGAACAACTCACACATGTGGAGGGGTGGGCGAGGAACAAGGGTGCACGCAAGCTGTGGCCCAGGCCCTGGACGGTGATCACACCAACTGAGGGGTGCCCACCCCAAGTCGGCCTACACAGATGTCGCTAACCCTCCCTGGGGCTTCAGCTGGCTTCCAGTGTGCCGGGCTGGTCCCCAACCCCCGCAGGCCACACCGGGCTCCACTTGGCTTTGCCCTGAAACCAACCCACAACCGTGTCTTCAACCAACATGTGCCTCACCCCACCCCACTGGTGTGCTCTCCCAGGGCACTGCCCACCCTGGGCACGGCAGTGGGGGCACTTGGCAGGCAGCAGCAAGGAGACCAGCCCAAATCCATCGGCCATACGGAGAGCAGGGTTTGGGGCTGACGGGTCAGGCTCCCCGTGGCTTTGCTGCTCTAGAGCCACAGCGCACCCGCTCGAGAGAGCCAGGGGCATGCCAAGAGGGAGAAGTACGTGAGCACAAGCCCTCATGCCAGAGCTCGTTGCCTGGATCCAGGTTCAGCTGGGGTTGACCCCAGCTCAGCTCAGAGGCTTGAGGCGGGGGGGTCAGGCTGGCTGGTGAGGCGAGAGGCAGCCCAGGCACGGCCCCTGGCCAGGCCCTTACCTTGCTTTGTGGGGGGGAGGCCGCCAGCTGCTGCTGCTTGGCGATATTCTCCGACAGACACCAGCACACCCTCTTCTTCTGCTCCCGAGAGTGAGCCTCCAATGTGAATAAGCACTCAGCCTTCTGACGTCAGAGAAAGGAGAGAAAGGGACGGTCAGGGCTTCTCCCTGGCCCGGGGGGCTCCCTGGCCCAAGTCGATCCCTGGGCTCCGGGAGGGCGAGGCTGCAGCAGGGAGGTGAATGTCGGCTAAAAAGCCACAGATGCACATGAATCCCGGGTGGCCTGGATGCAGCCCGAGGAGCCGAGAGGCTAGTTCAGGGACTGCTGATGAGCCAGGTGTGTGCCCACGGGCTGGGAAGGGGAGGGGAGGGGGGCTGGTGGTTCCCAGCACAGTGGAGGCCTGTGGAAAGCCGCGGGGCCGGGATGGTGAGGTCATTCCTGGGGCAGGCAGCACAAGGCAGCAACTGGGAAACACAGAGTGTCAAGGTCAGGGCCCCTTCCTCCAGCCCAGCACACAAGGCCAAGTGCACAGAGGGACCTCTGCCACCCAAGCAGCTCCCCTGGTCCCCTTAGAAAATCCTTGGGGGACAGCGGCACGTGGCCCCGTGCAGCCTCCCTGGGGCCTGTGTCCCATCCACGGCTGTTCAGAGCACAACCACATCTATGGCCCCTTTTAAATCCCAGCTGGCTCTCTGCAGAGCTCCAGGGCCCCCATCGCACCGCTCCACTGCTACCCGAAAGGTTGGAGGTTCGAACCCACCTGCCACTCCAGGGGGGGAAAAGCCATGGCCATCAGCTTCTGTGAAAATCACAGTCTGGGGCACCCTATGGGGCAGTTCTCCTCTGTCCTGTACGATCAGCATGAGCAGGGGCCAGGGGCCCAGAGAGCAAGTGAGAGAGTTCCCTGCATGCAGATGGACAAGCCAGCGAGTGATGGGGCTTCTGCGGGGCTCGGCTTATTCACCTTGCTAAGCGTTTCTGTCTGGTTTCCCAAACTAGACTGTAAGCTCCTTTCATGGGGGCCTTTGGCATCTGTGCCAAGCACGGTGGGTGTTGGCCCACAGTGGCCTGGATAGACCTCTGCCTACCCAGAGAAACTTCCGGTAGGAGGCCAAATCCAGGCCAGCTTTGGTGTGAGCCTAAGGAGCTGCCAGGACCCAGGGACTCAGCGCAGAAGTCATCGGGGCTGGGGCTGGGCCAGGGCGGGCAGCATGGCCAGTGTCCGCTAGCACCTGTGCTCCAAATCAGTCCAGGCGCGACCAAGGATAGCACAGCAGAGGAATAAAACAGATCTGAATGTCGGAGATTTGGGTGAAGGTAAGGGACAGGACAGGATTGGGAGGGGGGGGACCCCACAGGTCCAAGCCCTGCAATGAGAGACTTGGAGGAGGCGCGGTGAGCCTTTTCAGGAGCCTGACGTAAGGGATTGGGTGGCTGCCGGTGCAGTGGACAGCCGCACCCCACCACCATCTTTGAGCTGGGCACCGTTGTTCCCGACTCTGCCAGGCAGATGCCTGCTGCCTAGCTCTCTAGGGGAAGGACTGCGTTCTAACCCAGCGGCCGCCCATCATTGTCCCCGGCCTGGTGACCGCGTCGGTACGCCCATATTTTACAAACAGTGGTCCGTTTCCAGTTTTGTTTCGTCAGCCATGCCTGAGCCAGGAAGAACCAGTTCGAAGTGCTGGTCACCACCCCCTCGGGGCTCTGACTGGGCTGGAATTTGATTACAACCCACAGCGCTGCAATTAGATGAACTCAGCCAGGGAGCCAAGAGCAGATGCTGGATGGCTTGAAACAAAGGAGGAAAGACTGCTACTATCCCGGCCTCCCTGGTTTTGCAGCTGCACAGGCTGCAATCCAGTCTAAATCTCAGCTCTGCCTAGCTGCTGATTCCAGGGAATTCCCCAACTCTCTATAAAATGGCCTGGATCATGGTGCCACCTACTTAGCACAGCTCCTGGGAGGGCAAACCCCAAGGCCAACGGCAGCCCTCGACAGACAGAGCTGTTGTTGTTGTTCATGAACATGCCCCCCTCCCGGGCTGGGGTCAGCAGCTGGGCTGCGTATGGAGCTAGAGGTAAGTAAGGCGGCGAAGCCCTCACCTTCAGATTGAGGGGTCGAGACCACGGACAAATAATCAAGGAAATAAACCACATGATTCCAAATTGTTGAAGGGTGACACAGCTCCTAATGGGCGGGGCCCTATTGGGTGGCTAGAGAAGACCTCTCCAAAGAGGTGGCCCCTAAGCTGAGGCCGGAGCAGTATGAAGGAGCCACGTGGGACGGACGGGGGAAGACTTGTCCCAGGCAGGAAGAGCTAATGCAAAGGCTCTGGGGGAGGTGGGGGCATTCTGTGCAGGATCTAACAGCATCCTGGGACATTGTCTGCCCTGTCCTCCAAACGCAGCCCTCAGGAAGGGCCCTCTGGGTGGGCCCACTGCCCCCAGGTGCCCACCCTTGGTCCCCGGCCCCCTGGTACTCAGAAGCAGGTCTTCCATTAGCACCGGAGGTGAGAGGGAAGGAAGCCTTGCCCCATGGCTGCAGGAAGCTGGATAGATGTGGGGTGGGGATCATGAAGCAGCCACTTAGCACCAGGCTCCCTCAACTTCCCAGAACTCCTTGCACAAGAAGGACATGCCCAGGAAAAGACACCAAGACCACCCCACGAGAAGGCGGTGTGCCCCGAGGGCTTTGTGCCCCCATCTTATCCCATTCCTCCCTGTGAAGGGGTTGGTGAGTGGCACCACTTCTCAGCCAGCTTGAAAAGGCCCATCAAGCTGGCTCATCCTCCCAGCCCAGCCTCTGCCTCGATGTGTGAACTTCATTCAACTAACCCTTCAGGCTCCCTCCCCTCCCGCTTTCTGTTCTGAAGCTAAAATGCTACCTTAGACACAATTCCTTTTCACTATCAATGTTAAAAAAAAAAAAAAAAAGGGCATTTCCCATGCATGACCTCATTTTGATCTTGATCATTCCTTGAAGAGGGGTGGGGGTGGGGGGTGGGGCCGGAGAGAGTCTTAGACGGTCCTTCCCATTTGATGGGTGGGAAAACCGAGGAAGTCTCTGAGGGACTTCAGAGGCCCCGTGAGGTGGCATCGTCAATGAGTGGGGAAGGGGACACCCAACCAGCTGCTGCGACTCCCTCTCCCCAGGCTGGGGCCATCTCTGATGGCGGGAGGGGTCTCCCCTGCAGACTAGGACCTGGAAGCAAGGAGAAGGCGAAATCCTTCGGGAAAGATTTGCTCTGTCGGCCAGCAGGCCACAGAGCAGCTACAGGGGGTGGGGCGCTCTCAAAAACGTGCTAGGCTGCCTCCCCACCCTCGGCAGAGCCTCACCTCAAGAGCAGCCAGCCCCGACACCCAGACACCGTCTCACACGCTGTACCCCTGGGCACCACCATCTTCCAACAGCGTTGGCAGGGAGCCGCTGTAATGACCCCTCGGAGGACGGAGGTCCACAGGAACCATCCCGGACGCACCTTGCAGAGAACCTCCTTCAAAAGCCAGCTCTCTCCACCGGGGGTGGGGCGGAGGGTGGGATGGCATACAGCCTGCAGCACCCCACAGTGCAGGTCTGGCTCTCACTCTGAGGACATGGGCTGAGGACCCAGACCCCTCGGAAGCACAGGACCTGAACCCAAGGTCAGCCCTGCATAGGGAGATGATGCCTGAGGTGTTGGTGCTAGCTGCCAGCAAGTCCACTCTGACTCCTGGTGGCCCCGTGAGTGCCGGGTAGAACAGCGTGACTGTGAACTTTCAGAAGCAGACCAGCAGGCCTACCTGCTGAGGAGCCTCTGGCTGGGTCCAGACTGTCTTCTGACTAGTGGTGGAGCACACTGCTGTTTGCTCTCTTAGACGGGCAAACTCTGGGGCAGGTGTTTGCTCCCAAGTGCTACCAGGAGGCTTTGGAGACTGGCCAGCCCAAGGGTAGCGCTCTGAGCCAGCTCCCTCCAGGTAGGCTGGCCTCCCACCTGTGGGGAGCCCCGCCCCCCACCCACCCACCCACCCCACACTGCCTGCTTGCCTGCCTCTTAATCGAGCACAAGTCAGCTGATCCCATGATTGGCTCCGAAGCTGTGCTTTCAGCACCATGTGGTCCCCTGCACCTGCTGCTCCCCACGCACCGGCCCAGACACAGCAGCACTGAAACTGGGGTGCCCCACCGCCCACCAGACACCCAGCACCTCCATCCTGCTTTACCCCCTTGTTCTTGAATTCATTCACATGGGTGTCTTTGATTTTGTGTCTTTGGTAAAATCCATAACGTTCGTTGCTAAGACTTAAGTGTTTCAGCTTGCTTGACATTGCAATCCATCTTCCTACAGATCCCTGGGAGCACAACGGTTAGGCACTCTGGGCTGCTACCTCAAACACCGGCTGTTCAAATCCCCTGTGGCTCTCTAGGGAGAGAGACCTAGCACTTTGCTTCCATAAAGAGTACAGCTAGGAAAACCCGGGAGGGGGGGTGGGGGCAGTTCTACTCTGTCACCGGGTGGTGCAGAGGGGCCGCTATGAGGCAGAACTGACTGGGCTCCCCAGCACCTGACAACAGTGACCCCGTGATGTCCACAAGGAGGGGAGGCGCCACGAGTGATGACTGTTTCGAGAGGAAACAAGCCAACCACGCAGGCTCAGAGAGGTTCAGCCTTTGGTTCCAGCAGGTCTCCGGGCAGGAGGCACTGGAAGTCCGCTGGGGGGCCTCCCTCCAGAGTCTGGGCTCCTGGCCCATTAGCATAACTCTTTATGTCCATTGCAAAGGTTGCAAGCTATTCCTCTCAGCGATCAATAAATCACCCGTGATGTCTTTAATGGGGAGTAAACGAATATGAAAAGCTCTTCCCCTTAGTAGGAAGCGAGCCGGAAGAGCTGTCCCCACGCATCGAGCACTCGCTGTGTGCCAGGCCTGGTGCTAAGTGCTCTGGGCACCGCACCTTATTGAATCTCATTTAATCAGGACAACGGCCCTGCAAGGCGTCATCGGCCTGGCAGCAGAGGTGATCACCGGTGAGCAGCTGGTAATGCCAGCGTTCGGACCTAGGTCTCTCTATCCTCAGAGCCCAGAGCCCGGAGGCAGCATCAGGTTCCAGCTCATCAAATGGGCCCTGGCCCACACGCCCACCGACCCAGTGTCCGCAGTGCTCTCGGGCCGGCTGGAGGCTGCACGGGTTTGCTAAGGAGACGGGCTGACATGGTGGCTGCAACCATGACCTCAGACCTCACCACCGAGAGGATGGTGCGGTGTTGCATTCTGTTTTGCAATAGCATTGTCATGGGCTGGACAGCGCCTAGCCACCACCACCATCAGGGACAACGGTCCAGAAGAGCAGAGACCTCAAGGCCAGGACTGCTTAGGACAGCCCTACTGAGGGCCTGGCTGCTGGGGAATTGTCCACCAGAGAGCTTGGGCCGCCACCCAGGCACCTCCCCAACCCTCCTCTCCCTCCCCCGATCTCTTCTCCAGGGAGCCATAGTGCATGTCAGGAAGTTCCAGCCCAGGTGGGGGTCTGAGTGTGGTTTTCGGTGGGGTCTGATACTAACCCTCGTCAAGAATGTCCCAGGCTCCCCACCATCACCAACAAGCTGCCCCAGTGCCCCCCACCCCAAACAATCCATTCAGAGGAACACGAGGCCTCTCCCTGTCTGTGAGCTGAGCTTCAACGCCCTGCCACGCATAGTCGGATGACCTGGCGCTGACTTGAAATCAAAGGCCCCCCCATCGATATCCCTTCCTCAGTCTCCGGAGGGAGGGTGGGAGGTCACAGCCACCTGGAAACCGGTGTGGAAAGAAGTGCTTTTCTCTGGGACAGACAAGCCCAGCCTGGCAGGAAGCGCTCTTGGTAGTCAAGGATCCGGGTCTCTTTCAGGCACTGCCCATGGGACTCAGAGCCGCCCTCCGGTGCATGGCTCTCAACCCCTTCCCCCCAAGCTGCACTGGGCTCCATCAGCCCTGCGGAACTGAAGACACCCCCCACCCCCACCCCACATCCTCTCTGAAGTGCAGGCGTCTGCGTCCACCTGCCCCCACGATGCATGCTGGGGATGTGGCTAACACAGGGGAGGGCATCCAGGGCCCTCTAGCCCCAAGTGCTGCTCTACTCTTCTCTGACCATGTGGCCGCCTACGGACTCTTTGGAAGCCTCCACTCTCTTCCAAGGAGCTAACTTCTCACCAACTCCATCCCCATCCCGTTCCCTCCTCCCTCCCCCCCACCTCCCATCCCCATCCCAACACACGGGTCTGTTCAGAGACTCACTCCTGACCGCATGTCTGAGCCAGGGACCGAAGGGACGGTTTGTAATCACAAGCAGTGTTCTGGTTCCTTCTCTAAGAGGTGTATTCCTCTTGGCCGGGCAGTGGGGGCTGTGCCCCCACCCGGAGGTGAGGCTGGAGTCTCCCACCAGTTGGGTGAAGGAGTTTTAAACTGGCAACAGAGGCTGGGAACGGGGGTAAGGAAGCCTGGCTGAACACAGATGGCACCCTGGTCCTGTTCGCAGCTTGTTGGGACTGGAGAAGCCTCTGGGGACTGGGAAAGCAGGCTTAGGGCACAGTGGCTGACCCCTGGCTGAATGCTACTCAATCTACCAAACGGTACAAGGCAGGGAGTTGTCTGCCCATAGTTTCATTCGATCTGCTCAGTCAAAGCAGAGTGCTGCTCCTCCGAGCGTCTGACCAGACAGAGTACCGGGAGAGACCAGCCACTCTGAGTGGGCATCACTCCAGACCCTCAAGGTAGCCCCTGGATGTCTTCGTCTTTGGCCAGTGTTGCCAGCCCGGGAAAGGCACAGCTGCCAACAGGCCCTCGGCACCCCTGAGCAGACCCCAGCAACGGGTGGTGGGGAAGGAGGAGGCGGGCACAAGAACCAGAGGAGTCTCTGCGGGACAGAAGGGCGAGCTGTTGGCT